AAAATCACTAATCTGACCTGGCCCTACTGCATTACAGAAAATAATCCTCAGATGTGTCCCCTCTGTGACATTTCATAGTGTTAAGTCATTCATATAAATCACTAACGAACTCTAAACTTTTTCACATTTCTTTGTCTTTTTATGCTGCATCCAGGAAGAATTTCCTGGCTAAATCCTCCAGCTTGGTAATTTCCTCTATGGCTACCTTCAACCTGTTATCCAACCCATCTAACTGAGTTGTTGGATTTTTTAATTATAATTTCCAAGATCTCTAATTGGTTCTTTTTCATAATAGTCTGTAATTATTGTATGGACTGATATCTTCTCTCATCTTGTAAAGAAATACTGTTTGCTTTATATAAACTGTTTCCTCTGGTACTACCTAAAAAGAACGAAGTAGTTAAAAATGTACTAAAAGAAGATACCCAAGTTAGAAAAAAAAAGTTGCAGAAAAATACATTTACGTTAAGAATGAATGGAGAAGGTAAGGTCAAAACTGAACATATGTATGTAAATGCACAGACAAGTAAATATCTAGAAAAATTACCAAAAAGAAGAGAGCAGTTGGGGAGGGAACAAAAAGACCTTCACTTGTTACTCTATATATTTCTAGATGTTTGTACTTTTATAAAGAAACCTGATCTTTATGTCATTTATGTACACTCTTAAATTAGATAAGTAAATGGGAAGAAATTCTTCTAAGATGACAAAATGCCAGTAGTAAGACAAAAGTTAAAGAATTATAAGTTGTTTCTTTTGTTTTCAAATTTTCTTTAATGTAAGTATACTACTTTTATAAGTAAAAAATATATTTAATAATTTTATAATTTATCAGTTATGACTTGAAAAGAGGTAAAAACTACTTAACCACTTTGAAATCAAACCTACCTGCTTTCTCCAAAACAGGAGAAAGAAGGATTTCTGCTTTTGGCAATGGCGCCTAGTTATTGAAATCAATTCTGCAGCCACGAGAAAAAGCTAGACAAAATGTTAAAAGCGCTTGTTTGAAGACACTGGAGAAGTAGAAAGGCAGTAAAGGCTTGAAGAGCCAAGAACTCAGAAGGAAAGGAATCCAGAGAGGGGAGCTACACATCTGGTACTGGTCTTCCTCTATGGGCACTGTTTCCAAAATGGTAGGTAAGAGGCTAAAAGGCTGAACACGCTTTCAGCAATATCACAAGAACAGGGAAACAAAAACTGGAGTTTCAGGCCACTAAGGAGGAAGCATCCTATTTAGGCTTTCAGTTAGGATCCCCAAATGGCTACACTCTGGGAATTAAGCTGAACCAAAAAGAGACCAGTTCCCCAAAATTGAAGACTAGTTTCTGAAAATTCCATCCTTGACTGAGCTAAGATGTCCTACTCTTAACCCTGTGTAGAAACAAAAGTAAATGTTCTCTGAAGGAAGAAAACATGATGCAAAAGTCTCAAATTTTTCCCACAATTTTTCATACATAATGACTAAGAAGCAGAAATATGCAGGCATGACAAAAAATAAATAAACGACTAGAAATCAAAAGAAGAAAAACTAAAGATCCAGAAGAGATCCACATCAATTAGGTATCTGACACAGGCTTTAAAATGACTGGGATTAATAAATTCAAAAACCTAAATGACAAGATGAAGAATTCCAGCAAAGAACTGAAACTATTTTAAAACTCAAATGAAAATTCCAAAAGTGAAATAACTGAAATTACGTACTTAATGGATAAATTGAACATCAATTCAGACAAAGCTAAACCGGGATTAGTAAACTGGAAGAAAGAGGTCAGAAGAAAATATCCAAATTGAAAAATGGGGGGAAAAAATGAGTAGAAAATATAGAAAGAACATAAAAGAGACATTCGGGGAGGGGGGGGCGGGAAACACATCTTCTGGGTGAGTCCCAGAAGAGAAAAAGAATGGATGTGAACCAATATTCGAAGAGATAATGGCTGAGAATTGTCTAAAACAACAAATCCAACCATAGGTTCAAGAATCACTATAAATAGAAAGCAGAATAAACACAAAAAAACTCTGGGTAGACATATCATAGTAAAATTGCTGAGAACCAAAAACAAAAAGAAATTAGCTTCAGAGAAGCAACTTCTTAATAGAAATGGATTATGGAATGATATCTTCAAAGTGCCAAGCCAAAATTCTATGCCCAAAACAAACATTCTTCAAATGATGTCAAGAAATAGACATTTTTACACAGATACTGAGAGAATGTGCTGCAGCAGACTCACAAGAAAGAAAATACTAAAGGGAACTCTTCGTTTAGAAGAAAAACTATCCCATTGGAACCACAAAAATAGATGAAAGACGAGCACCAGAAAGGATAAATTTGTGGGTTTATCTAATGAATATTTGCTGTATAAAATGATGATGATAATGATGATGATGGCACCTTATGAGGTTTAAAACACTTGTAGAATTAAGATACACAACAATAAAAAGGCAGGAAGAGGTAAATGCAACCAAAGGTTCTAGGATTCTTGCATTGTTTAAAAAGTGGCAAAAGTACTAAAATATACCAGACTTTAACAAGTCAAAGATACATACTGAAATCTTGACTAACCAGTAAAAGAACAGTAAAAGAATGTATAACTAACAAGCAATGGCTTGGGGTGATATAAAAACAATTAAGCATAAAGAAGGTAAGAAAGAAGATAAAAAGGAGCATACCATGGTGGGGGAGTTAAAACTCTAAGTTTTAAATCTAACTATATCAGTAAAATAAATGCGCATGGACCAAATACTCCAATAAAGCAAAAACTATTCAATGGATAAACAAAACCCAACAATGCAATGCAGACATACCTTAAATAAAAGATAAATAAAGTCTGAAAGCAAAAGAATAGAAAAAAGATAATACATATTAACATTATCCAAAAGGATGCTTGGGCAGTCAATCATACTAACATTAGATATTTTTAATGCTAAAAGTGAAGACACAGTTAAGAGTTAATAATCCTTTACACACATTTGTATAAACTAAATAATATCACCTCAAAATAATAAAGCAAAACTTGACAGAACTAGAAGGAGAAAGAGATAAATCCACAGTCATAGTGGGGTACTTGAGGGGGAAGAGGGCAGGAGGAGCAGGAAAGAAAGAATCCCAAGTATGCCCCATGCCCAGCATGGAGCCCAACAAGGGGCTCTATCTCATAACCTGGAAATCATGACCTGAGCCAAAATCAAGAGATGAACGTTTAACCAACTGTGTCTCCCAGGCTTCCCCGTAGTGGGAAATTTTTAAACACTGCTCTTAGTAACTGACAAAACAAAACAGGAAAAACTAGAATGGGGATTTTTTTTTTTTTTTAAGATTTTATTTATTTATTTGACAGAGAGACACAGAGAGAGAGGGAACACAAGCAGGGGGAGTGAGAGAGGGAGAAATGGGCTTCCCGCCGAGCAGGGAGCCCTATGCGGGGCTTGATCCCAGGACTCTGGGATCATGAGTCCTGGGATCATGACCTGAGCAGAAGGCAGACGCTTAACGACTGAGCCACCCAGGCACCCAGGGATTTTATTTTAAATATCCTTTATATTCCCTAAAGAAACATGGCCATCTTGGCTATGTTTCTCTTAATGCTGCTGAAGCTCTTCTGCCCCTACAGAGATTTAATGGTACTTGATATTATAAAATAAATGTCATTTTTAAGACCCCTTCTGCTGGGGGGGAAAAAACCCTGCAAACTTTAGCACATTCTGTGAAACAGTAACTCTTTGCTTTAAGCTCTTTTACACATTCAAATATTATATTGTAATGCAAAAACACATTAGCATATGCTCATGGTTAACACTGTTTTTAAAAAATAAAGATGAATTTCCTTACAAAAATGATACTATAAGAAGGTAATCATCTATGCTATGTTATGTTATGCTATTAGCGTTTCCTTAGAATGTGATTCTTATTTTTCTAGATATGTGATTCAATAATCAATGAGTTAGACTAAGAAAATACATTACTTTTTAAATTATTTCTATGTTTCAAAGCAATTAACACTTTTCAGTGGCCTCAAAATCTTGAAGTTTAAAATGTGTAAATATATATTAAAATAATGTTTTTCAAGCAAGGAACTTTTTTTAAAAAGCCCAAATAGGGGCGCCTGGGTGGCTCAGTGGATTAAGCCTCTGCCTTCGGCTCAGGTCATGATCTCAGGGTCCTGGGATCGAGCCCCACATCGGGCTCTCTGCTCAATGGTGAGCCTGCTTCCCCCTCTCTCTGCCTGCCTCTCTGCCTACTTGTGATCTCTCTCTCTCTCTCTCTCTCTCTCTGTCAAATAAATAAATAAAATCTTAAAAAAAAAAAAAGCCCAAATAACTACATCATTCGATTTACATAAAAATAAGGCATTTTCTTCCTTGCCTGTGAATCACTGCCTACTAATAAATGAGTTGTATAGTCTTTACTGCTCAACTATGATATCCCACACTCCTTATTTATTACTTCATTAACATTTACTTATCTCCACACTTTCCCTAACTTTTCCCTTCAGCCTGTACCATATACTTGTGTGTGTACAAGTACAATCAGTACTTTTCTTCTCAGTATCTCTCCTATCCTCCCAAGAAAACAATTCCTAATGGTTTTTGTTAGCCCTTTTAATGGGAGTTGTCCATAGAAGAGTCTTCTCAGTTCAATGTTATAGAAAATATGAAAATACCAACCATGGGAAGAACAGAATTTATATGGAAAGTTATTTTAACTATGTAACAATTTTGTAAAGCATCAGTAAAAAAAATTTCACTATGTAGCTGGAATCTTCCAATACTTTGCAAAAAATAGTAAGTTCTCAATCTAATATGTAAGAGTTCTTTGGTTTACCTAAGAATCAAAAACTAAGTGAACTTCTTGCAAGCTTTTCCCATAGAAAAGGCAGACTCATGGCTATCAAGAATCTTTAGAAACAGCCAGAATGAAATAACTTTAAAATCTAGCTAAACAAATACATAAATCTCAATAAGCTTTCAGAAGAAATAAAGACTATAATATTTTTAAACATTACCAGTTTTAACCGCTCTTTTCTCCTTTTGCCGAAGGAGGCACTTGACCCAGGTTCTGATTCCTTTTTTCCATCCTCATCCTCATCTTCATCTTCATCATCCTCAAAACACCAATCTGGCAAAAGAGGTGGGGGTGGTGCTTCCTCTATATCACCATAGCGACGAAAAAGTTCTTTCAAATAATCACCTTTATAAATTCCTGGTGGTCTGGCTTGAGCAAAAGTAGCAACTGCTGCTTCAATACTATGGAAAACAAACACCATGGAATTTCCTCACTTTTCTTCATTTATGCAGATTTATCAAAACTCATTCTATTTCAGTCACCAAAGGAAGTACAGTACAGGTTTACAAAATGGACAAATCATATTCCCCAGGCCCAAGGCATTCAATCTACTAAAGGACAAATCTGAAACAGCTTTAATACAAGGTACATGGATAATCCCTAAACCCTGGAGAGGTAAGCTGCAATGACAGAAGAGAGCTTGGTAAAGTCTGTGAAAAATGTATATAAAGGCTTGAAGGTTGAGATCGAACTCTAAGGGAAATCAAAGAAATGTGAACGCCAATATGAATAAAGTAAAAGCATGCTAGCTTTTAAGAACTTTCAACAGACCTGATAAAAAGAACAAAGGCCATCAGAGAGAGGCTAAAGCACACACTGACAAGGAGTCTGGGGTTACTGTCAAAAGCACCTCAAAGGCCAGAAAGGCAGAGCTAGAAGAGCACGCAGTAGAGAACCAGAGGATGTGTGAACAGGGAAATATACAATATGTGTACTTCAACTGATTACATTCAGAGAAGGACCTACTGTGTTGAGGCTTTATAAACAAAAATAATGACCCTCAATCAGTAAACAAGAAAATTCAGGTAGTAATATCCCATTTGCCCAAGGAATTTGAGGCAACAAAGGTTCTAATCTCTCAGGATCTAAAAAGGTACTTCAATAAAGCCATGTTTACTTGATTGGTTCATACAGAGTAACTGTCCCCAAAACAACTTCTCCATATACCATTACAGGTTTTTCCTAATATTCAGCAGCTATAAAAAATAAAAGTATTATTAAAAATGAAAAGAACAAGGGGCATCTGGCCGATTTAGTAATTAGAGCATGCAACTTGACCTCAGGGTCGTAAATTTGAGCCCCACGTTGGGCATGAGCTAGATTCTTTAAAAAAGAAAAGAAAAAGAACAATAATAACAATAGTAACTTCCAAAGGTGAATATAAAAAAAAAGATTTTGAGTAAACTTGTTTCTGGTAATTCTGGAAGATGTGAAAAAAATCTGGAAAAGAAAATATATAGTATATAAATATCCACAAACATTCAACTAAAATGCTACTTAGGACAAAATACCAGGTAATAAATGATATTCTAAGACTAATCAAGTCTAAAATGAAAACCACTTTAAATATTATTAATTAGGACTTCACCAAAAATTTGACAATATAAAATGCTAAAACTAAAAAAAAATCGGTAAAATTCTTTATCAATTACTAATCTTCCATTATAACAAGAAACAATACCTCCAATCCATTTTCTCCACCAAAAAGGCACATATGAGGAAACCAGTGCGATTGAAACCATGGGTACAATGAACACCTAGAAAATAAAGTAGCTTTGGTTTAAAACTAAAATACCACTTCAAAAGCCACATTTGACTTTAAAATTCCAACCTGTAAGCAAAACATTTTAATGACTTTATAAAATAACTACATTTTTAAAAACTTGGCCCTCTCTTACAGCTTAGTAACTCATTAGTTCAAGTCCTTAGAATCTAATTTATCTCATTAGCAAGAAGTTTAGTATATACTGGTTACAAATCACCTCTAAAGTCTAAAGATTTCTCTTAAAACTAAAGGATTCCAAGCACTTTAAGGACGCCTGGATGGCTCAGTCAGTTAAGCGTTTGCCCTCAGCTCAGGCTATGATCCCAAGGTCCTGGGATAGAGCCCCATATTGGGCTCCCTGCTTGCGGGGAATCTGCTTCTCCCTCTCCCTTTGTGCCCACTCTCTCGCTCTCTCTCTCTCAAATGAAAAATAAATCTTCAAAGAAAAAAAAAAAGAATCCAAGCACTTTAAATAAGAAAGTGTTTTTATCAAACACACATACACACAACACTTGACTAGGTCTAAAATAATTGATGGATATATAGTACCATAAAAATAAAACTACTTTGACGTTCTCTTAGAAACGGACAATGTCTTTACGTCATTTTATAATATTTAAAACAAACCTTCAGGGAGCAGCTGGATGGCTCAGTCAGTTGGACTGTTGGTTTCCGCTCAGGTCATGATCTCATGGTCCTGAGATCAAGCTCCACATCCAGCCTTGTGCTATGTGTGGAGGTTGCCTAAGACTTTCTTTCCCTCTCCCACAGCCCCTCCTTGCCACTCTCTCTCCCTTAAATAACTCTTTAAAAAGGTAAAATAAACTTGCAGAAGAAAAACCTGAGAAAAATAATTTTTTCTTACGCCTTTTTTCAGTACATATTCAAATGCTGTCCTACCTCTATATTCTGAAAAGCTGCAAATGAGCTTCATAAATTCCAAAAATGACTGCATTTTTAAATCATTTTAACTACTTTGAAGAAGTAATTAAAATAGTTTGCTTGACATTATTAACATGACATTACTTAAGTCACTCTCCTACAAACATCGAAAATGAAGCTTTTCCTATTATCTCTGTTTAATGTAAAGATATCTCGACATTTAAGACCATATCTTAACAAACTACTCTACTCTTTGTATATAAAGCATCCTAATAAAGGGCAACCAAAAATCAAATATATAAATAAACTAAAAGAATTACAAAACTTCTAGAAGACAATATGGAAGAAAATCTTTGCAACTTTAGTGTAGGAAAAGACTTCTCAGATAAAACATGAAATAAAAGGAAATATTGATAAATAATGCTACTTCAAATAGGTAAATGTCTACTCTTTGAAAGATGTCATTGAGAAAATAAAAACACCAGGGGACACCTGGGTGGCTCAGTCGCTAAGTGTCCTGACTCTTAATTTTGGCTCAGAGCATGATCTCAGGGTCCTGAAATCAAGCCCCACATCGGATTGCATGCTAGGTGTGGAGCCTGGTTAAGAGTCTCTCTCTCCCTCTTCTCCTCCCCTAGCTCTCTCTTCCTCTAAAAAGAAAAAAAAAAAAGGAAGAAAAAAAAATTGCCACAAAATATATTTTCATTACATATATCTAATAAAGAACTTCTATCCAGAATATATAAGTAAATCTTACAACTCAGTAATAAAACAAACACCTAATATTTTTTTAAAACTGGGCAATAGATTTCAAGACACTTTACAAAAGAATGTGTGTAAATGATCAAGAAGTACATGAAAAGACAGTCAATATCATTATCATTAAGATGAAAATGAAAATCACAATGCAACCCCTACACACCAATTAAAATAGATAAAATCAAAAAGACTAACAATGTCATATGTAAGTGAGGATATAGAGGAATTGAAACCCTCATGCACTGCTGATAGAAATATAAAAAACACAATCACTTTAGAAAACAGTTTGGCAATTTCTTAAAAAGTTAAACATACATCTACATCAAATGACCCAGACATTCTAATCTTAGTTATTTACTGAAGAAAAATAAAAATATATGTGCAAAGACACACATAAAGATTAATGTCCACAGCAATTTTATTTATAATGGCCAAAAAGTGCAGATACCCCAAATGTCAACCATCAGGTGAAGGGATAAATATGTAGTATATCCATTCCATAACTACTATTCAGCCATAAAAATGAATGAATTACTAATAAATACAATAAGGATGATTTCAAAACCTGTGTGAAAGCAGAAAACAAAACAACAGAAAGTCCATATATACAAATTTCTTTTACATAAAGTCTATAATATGCAAAAATGTGTATGGAAACATGAAAGACCCTGAATAGCCAAAGCAGTCTTAGGAAAAATAACAGAATTGGAGGCATCATACTTCCTGACTTCAAATTATACCACAAAACTGTTGTGATTAAAAACAGTATGGTACTGGTATAAAGACAGATATATAGACTAATGGAATAGAACAGGGAACCTAGAATTAAACTCCTGCATATACAGTCAACTAATATTCAATAAGGGAACCCAGAACACTGAATGGGGAATGTCAGTCTCTTCAACAAATGATGTTCATGCAGAACAATAAACCTGGACCCCATCTTACACTATTCACAAAAATTAACTCAAAACAGATCAAAGACTTAAACATAAGACCCAATGCCATAAAACTTCAGAAAAAAATATAGGGGAAAAACTACTCAACACTGATCTTGCCAATGATTTTTTGGATATGACACCAAAAGAACAAACAACCAAAGCAAACATCAACAAATGAAACTACATCAAACTTAAAAGCTTCTGCCCAAATAAATAAATAAATTAAATTAAATTAAATGGCAATCTACAGAATGGGAAAGAAATTGTGCAAACCGTACATTATATCAGAGCCTAATATCCAAAGTATATAAGGAACTCATACAACTCAATAACAAAAAAAAAAAGCCAATTTAAAAATGGCCATAGGATCTCAAAAGACATTTTTCTAAAGACATCAAAATGGCCAATGGGTATATTAAAAGATACTTAACATCACTAATCATCAGGGAAATATAAATCCAAACCACAATGAGATATCACATCACACCTGTTAAAATGGTTATCACCAAGGCAACAAGAGGTAAGTACTGGCATGGATGTGATGAAAGGGGAACTCTCCTACACTGCTGATGGGAATGTAAATTGGTTCAACCACTATGGAAAACATAGAGTTTCCTCAAAGAATTAAAAATACATCTACCATATGATCCAGAAATTCCACTATATGCACCCAAAGGAAATGAAAATAGAATATTGAGATATATGCATTTCCATGTTTATTGCAGCATTGCTGACAATAGCCAAGATATGGAAACAACCTAAGCACCCATCAATGGATAAAGGAATATGTAAGGTGGGGGGGGTTGCATGTAATAGAACTTTAGTCAGGAGAAAGAACATTCTGCCATTTACAACAACACAGATGAACCTTGACATATTATGCTAAATAAGGGAGATAAGTCAGACAGCGAAAGACAAGTACAGTATGATGTTACTTATATGTGAAAATAAAAAAAGCCAGACTCATAAAGTCAGAAGAGTAAAACAGTAGTTACCAGGAAATGGGGGCGGGAAGGAGGTATAGGACAGAGTTATTTAAATGTAAACAAATTTAAATTAATTAACTAAAACAAATTTGCAATGAGTAGTAAGAGCTAGAGATTTAATGCACAGCATAGTGAATATAAACAACAATATTGAATTATGCTCATCAAACCTGAGAAGAAACAACTTAATTATTCCCACTAAAAAAAAAATTATGTAACATGATAGAGGTACTAATTATTGCTACAATGGCAACCATATTACAATGTATAAATATATCAAATTAACATGTTGTACACCTTAAATTTCCACAATCTCTTATGTCAAATATATTTCAATTAAAACAATTTCTAAAAAATCCAAATTAATCTATAGTGACAGAAGGTAGGAAGTGATTGCCTAATCTGTAACTAAGGGTTGAAGAGAGGCTGAACACAAAGGAGCATAAGATGCAAACGCTCTGAACCTTGGTTGTAGTTTCATGGGTATCTACATCATTAAATTGTACATTATAAATGAGTGCAGCTCAATAATGATGACTGTTTTTAAATCCAGTTAATAAAGTGAGGGGCACCTGGGTGGTTCAGTCAGTTAAGCATCTGCCTTCGGCTCAGGTCATAAACTTGGGGTCCTGGGATGGAGCCCCATGTCAGGCTCTCTGCTCAGTGGGAAGTCTCCCACCTCTCCCTTTGCCTCTCTCCCTGCTCATACTCTCATATAAATAAATAAAATAAATTCTTAAAAAAAAAAAAAAAACCTAGAAGTTAAAGTGAGATGCTGATGTAAGTCTGCAATAGGCATTAAAAACATATTCCAAAACACTTGTTTTTAACAACTGACTTTATCAAAGATGTAACTTTGATACATTTTTATTTTTTGATACATTTTTAAAGGTATACAAATAAAAGTATCATTTTCATGTCATTTCTGTAACACGGTAAGATTTCTTTCCAAAAAAGGTTTTTGCTACTTAAAAAAAAAAATTTGAAAACCAGTATCATAGAGTTATCATCAACTACACCAAATCACCTATTTTCTACATTCATACTAAATAATCATTAATATTTAGAATAAAAACCTTAGTCAATGAACAACACCCAATTAACAAGGACATAAAGGAACTATAGACAGGAGCAATCTGCGCAAACAAAAATATGCATGAATCAAAACACCACATATGGCAAAACTATAAATGAATCAGAATGGCTATAACATGGAGTATAATAAAAAAGTAATACCAAATGCAGTTGGGAGGCAGTGAGAAGAACAATATCCTGAAGAAAACTGTGTACCATACTAAAGACAGTATACGGGCAATGGAGAGATATTAAAAATTTTTAAGCATGGCAATAAAATTATGTTTTTTTAAAAAACATTCCAGGGGCACCTGGCTGGCTCAGTCAAAAGGGCATGCAACTCTTGATCT